CTCAAAATATGTGTATATTTCATGATGCTGATGACAGTATATGATTACATTAGATTAAGTGAAGTAACTCAGGAATGGAAAACCAAACATCATATGTTCTCATTCATAAGTGGGAGCTAAGCTATGAGGATGCAAAGGCATAAGAATAATACAACGGACTTTGGGGATTCTGAGGATAGGGCAGAAGGCAGGTGAGGGATAAAAGACTACACATTGGGTACACTACTCAGGTGATGGGTATGCCAAAATATCAGAAATCACCACTAAAGAACTTATTCATGTAAACAAACACCACCTGTTTCTCAAAAACCTATTGAAATTTTTTAAAAAATGGCTGGGTGTGGTGGCTCACACCTGTAATCCCAGTACTTTGGAAGGCCAAGGCAGGTGGATCATGAGGTCAAGAGTTCAAGACCAGCCTGGTCAACATGGTGAAACCCCATCTCTACTAAAAATATAAAACTTAGCTGGGTGTGGTGACGTGTGCCTGTAATCCCAGCTACTCGGTAAGCTGTGGCAGAAGAATCCCTTGAACCCAGGAGGCGGAGGTTGGAGTGAGCCAAGATTGTACCACTGAACTCCAGCCTGGGCGAGAGTCTCAAAAAAAATAATAAAATTTTTAAAAAAAATTAAGATTACATAAGGTGACTATGAATGAAGAAAATTTTTCTATTTTGTTAAATATATATAATTAAATATAATTAATCTTAAACATAAATTAAATATACATATTGTCTAATAATACATTAGGTATTAAAAAAGTTCCTTTAGCTAATTTTCTATAGTTAGTCTTGATGCCCTAAGAAAAAGAGGTAAAAAGTGCCTGACAGAAAAGTCTCGAAAAGTCTACAGATAAATAAATAGTAAAGATGAAATAACTAGTTCCTTTAAAGGGAAGGAAACAGGGAGGGCATTTAGGGAATTGAAGGAGTACTTACTGATATCCCCTTAATCAATATTGTTGATTTCATAAATTATGAAAATATGGGTTTCAAGTTTCATTAAGTTTTTCCTTACCCTCTCTGGAAAATCTACCAGGTATTAGCTACCATCTTGATTTCTAAACCTCACAAAAAAGAAGGAAAGACCAGATGAAGAACGACTGCTCAATTATGAAGCCAACTGGAAAAACAGATGACATGGTTTGGCTCTGTGCTCCCACCCAAATCTCAGCTCCAATTGCAATTCCCATGTGCTGAGGGAGGAACCTGGTTGGGGGGTGATTGGATTATATGGGTGTTTTCCCCCACATTGTTTTCATGATAGTGAGGGAGTTCTCATGAGATATGATGGTTTTAAAAGTGGCAGTTTCCCCTGCACTTTCTCTCTCCTGCCACCATGTAAGATGTGCCTTGCTTCCCCTTCACCTTCCACCATGATTATAGGTTTCCTGAGGCCTCCTCTGCCATGCAGAACTGTGAGGTGACTAAACTTCTTTTCTTTATAAATTATCCAGTCTCAGGAAATATCTTTAAAGCAGTATGAAAAATAGACTAAGAGAAGAGACAAGACCTTTCTTTTCTGTATCAATCTTCAGCTATTTCTAAGAACAACACAAGTTGAAAGCAGAAAGAATAATAAGTAGAGACCTGAGGCCCCAGATTTGGGGTAAAGGAAGAGGGATGTAACAGACATGTATGTCAGCTTGTTTCAGTTCACGCTTCCTGCAACATGACTAGTAGCTAGATCCAGAAAACTGCCAATCAATCAGGCTAGAGATTACATTTTGAAAACTCAATTTTTTTCAAACCTACTTGATGTTATACTTTTCTGTCCCTCCAAATAATTATACCCAAAGGTTTTGGATGCTACATGTATAGCCTTTTATGTGTTTATACACAGGTACAAATGCTATTTATTATATATAACTAGCCTGAAATGTTCAAAGCTAATTGCCAACAAATGTTATATATTTCACATTCCACTGTTCATGTTCTAAAATTAGATAATTGTGGTAATCATACAATTCTGTGAATATACTAGAAGCCACTGAGTTGTATGCTTTAAATGGGTGAGTTTTATGGTATGTGAATTATACCTCAATAAAACTACCATTACAAAATTAAAAGAAAAAAACCTCATTGGTCAGAACATTCTTATTCTTCAAATTATTATTATGTAATAATTTGTTGAACAAGTTGGCTTTCAGCATTTTACTACTTCGGATTATTAAAAACAATATCAGCTTTATAAAACTCCACTCTGAACACATAAGAAAAGACACCCAAACAACAACAAAACCAACAGGAAATAATGTCATTAGTTTAAGACCACATAAAACACAGTCATGCAAACTGTAGTATTCTACTAAAATTTAAGAAAATATGTTTTGGCCAGGCACGGTGGCTCACGCCTATAATCCCAGCACTTTGGGAGGCCGAGGCGGGTGGATCACGAGGTCAAGAGATCAAGACCACCCTGGTCAACAAAGTGAAACCCCGTCTCTACTAAAAATACAAAAATTAGCTGGGCATGGTGCTGCGCGCCTGTAGTCCCAGCTACTCGGGAGGCTGAGGCAGGAGAATTGCTTGATTCCAGAAGGTGGAGGTTGCGATGAGCCGAGATTGTGCCATTGCACTCCAGCCTGGGTAACAACAGCAAAACTCCGACTCAAAAACAAAAAAAAAACAAAAAGAAAATATGTTTTCATGATCCTGTGAGCTAAACATGTACATAAGTTTGCCATCTTATATTTCTTTCATTTACAATCAAAAGGATAAAAACAGAAAGATGATTATATGAAACTGCTAGTAATATCAACTTGTCCAACTTCTTCCAAAGCTAACAAAGTAGGAAATAAGTAGAAAAACCCTTGAGGCAATTGTTGGTACTACTGGACCACTCTGTTATCACATATAACTATATTCCTTGTCCTTTTTTAACCTTCAGTTTATATTTTCTCCTCTCTTCACTCAGCTTCCTTACTTCATCCTCTCATCTTAGTAGCACCAATATCTCCATTTATTTTCAAATGAGAGAATTAGAGTTTATACAATATTTTCACATAAGATAACATGCATCTTTGCAACTCTGTGGTATTACTTTCTATTTGTAGAAAAGGTGGAGCTCAAAAAAGTTACTGAGTTAGCCAAGTTCACAAAACTTGTAAATAACCAAGATGGAGGCCAAATATTTTAACTTCAAAGTTACTGCTCCTTCTATATTAGCATAGCTGAACTTCAAGATTATATAGTATTAAAGGCCAAAAAGATTGATTACTAGCAATCCTCTGATTATTTAAATCATATGCTAGTAGTCCTAAACTAAAAATGTTATCTTTAATTAAAATATTTCTTCTCTTGTCCAAATTCTTTCTGTATACTCTATTCATAGTAATTATGCTGTGTTTGCTAGTTATCTACTCTTTCCAAACAATCTTTTAAACTAAGCATTTAATTATCTAGATTTTTAATCAAACACCATCCTCAGCAACCTTTGTTAATTTTTCGGCATCACTTTGCGGAAGAATAATGATTTACTCTAAATTAAACAGCAATCAGAAGCAATGTTCATTGGAATCTAGATACTGTAACTTCTCCTTTCCTTTGTCTCATTTCTAGCATTCCTGAAAACTTCCACTTACCAGAAAGGGGGAATGAAAAAGAAGACATTAAATGGAAAGGTCTACGAAGAAAAGGAGTTTCTACAGGCATGTGTGAGAGATTATATAGAGAATAAGGACCAAATTTGGGGCAATCATAATGACTTGTGAAGTAATTTAAGCAAAATATTTATCTGAATCATAGACAAATATGTATCTGTGTGTGTATGCGTGTATGTGTGTGTGTAGAAATATATATAAATATAAATATATATTTGAATATATATATTTTTATATATAAATATATATAATTTTATTCATATATATGAACAGGTCTTTTTATTCATCTATATATATTAAATATATATATATTTTATTCATATATATATATATGAATAAAAAGACCTGTAAGCCCACCAAAAGAAGGAAGGAATTAAGGGAGGGAGGAAGGAAAAAAGATAGTTGATGGAGCTTCGGCTCACTTTCTTTTTTTCCATACAGTTAAAGTACAGGGGACTCCTAAATAAAAGGGAACCATCAATTTACTATTAGCTAGCTGAGGAGACTCACAGAGAGATACCAGGGTTCCCTATTAGTGAAACCTGGCACACGAAGTCAGTAAGTCATAGGAAGACAAGAACTGACAAAAGGAATAGGCAGAGACAGACTGGAATCCCCTTCTCTTTCTGTCCTCAAAGTGTGCTTCAAGAACTATCCACAACAGAAACACCCATGGCTTTTATTTAACAAGCATATCACTATACTCCAACATACACCTGTATAAAAAAAAATGTCTGGGAGTTGGGCTTATACATTTGCATTTTAACAAGACCACAGGTTATTTTTAAACATTGAAGTTTGAGGCTGTTTCTCCTCAATTCACCTTTGTCAATGGTTACTCAGTTAAGCTGCTTATTTAATTAAATTGTGTATGCTCTGGTAAAGGCCTTCTGGGGGCAAATACTGCTTCAAGTATTAGTTAATCTTAAAAAGAGAAATTCTGCACCCTTATTTAGGTCATTTTATTCTCTATGAACTTACCAGTGTTTTTCAAAGGACTAATTTAAAGCCTAGAGGTGAGGGATGAAGGAATAGGTTAAGAGGCAGGGAGGAAGTCATGCAGAGACAGTATTTTTCTTGATTTTTAAAACATTACTCAAAATGAGAAAAGAAACTGCACAATAAATTAGGACAGAACATCTACAAATTAAGAGAGCATTAAGTATATAAACTTCCATTCAACTATAAGAGATTGACCATTTACTTGTATATGCCATTTTAAAAATGGTTATGAAAACAAAAGTATTAATAAGTTTTATTTAGTGAAAGAAAGATTAGAAAGCAAAACATACATATTTTGTGTTTTTGTAATACATACTAGGTCAAATTTTAATTTCATATAAGGCTTTTAAAGAAGCTATGCTCATGAGTTAAAAGATAATTTTTATGAAAAGATTACCATTTGGTGCAGTGGGAGGTGACCAGATGCCATAATATTGTGGTAAATATTTTCGTAGCTCTAGGAGAACACCATCAGTACAGTCAGCAGCATAAACCTGAAACAGAGAAATATAACATTGCTAGGTTCCTATAATGCTTTGTAACTGCCCTGCACATTTCTCAGATAAAATATATTATGTTGAATCATAATTCATCTGGTTTGGCTTCAATTGCAAGTAAACTTGGAACAAGCAAAAAATATTACTGTGGGTCTCCAAAGAGTAACTATGTATTATTTAGAGCACTCTCTTCTTGGTTATCTAATTCTAGCCTTTTACTGTCCTTGGACTATTTTACAACTTTGTAAGTTACAGATATTGATAGCAAATGCAAAATGACTCTTGTCCATAGACATGTAAATAAATTCTGGTCAGAGGACGCTCTTCTGACTTTCCTCCATGTATCCTGAGAGGAGGAAATGTAGTGTCCATATGAAAATTCATTTCAAACTTCCATTATTCCACATAAATGTGTGTTTCCTTGATTTCACTTTTGAATCAGTTTTAAAATCTACCTGATTCCCTCATTAAACAAGTTAAAGCAAATCTTTAACACATATTTATTTTATACCTGTAAGTGGATTTTTGCTTTTATCTCACTGAAGTTTACTGGTGTAAAATGCTTATGAAAACTTGTTTTAGAATCTAATTATATATGCCAAATCATATTAATGTCAAGTAGCTGTATGCAACATAATTCTTCAGAATAAACTCAAGTGTAGTAGACTCTTGGCAGATCAAATATCCATGTGGTACACTGTGTTTCCCAGACTCCCCTGTTGAAATGTTAGCAGAAGTGATATTAGTCACTTCCAGGACAGGGTAATTTAGAGCAAGTATACCTGAATGTCCCTCCATTTCTAACACAATGACCATGGGTGCAGAGTTGAGGATGAACTAATTACAAGACAGAGGAATAAAACAGATCTCTGTGTACTGATCTAAAGAACTCCATGATGTATTTATAAATGAAAAATATAAAAGGCATATTACATACAAATATATATAGCAGGTTCATGAAATTAAGTAAGATACACATGTGTGTATCATCTCTGTAAAGGCACAGGAAAAATAATAAATATGCATTTAAAACTACTCATAGTTTAATTCTGAAATGGAAATGAAAAAGAGATAAATTTTTTCTTCTGATTTTTAATATGTTTTAAAAGTAGTGGTGTTTACTGTAATATGCCAGATAAGATAACCTAAAAATCTTTCTATCTAGAAATGTAGAATAAAATATAACAAATATTTTCTTAAATGAATAGCTGGACTGTCAAGGAAAAAAAAAGGAATTCTTCTTAGTTTTGCATGCTTAGTACAATTCTTCTCAGTTTTCACATGAAACAAAAGTGTTAACCTGAGCAGTGATGTTTGGGCTTCACAGAGGTTCACTCAAGACTTAAACCAAAGGATCTCAGAACTTGGGGACAAGGCAGAGCTGAAGACAGTTACTATACTAAAACATAGAGAGTACATAAAATTCTAAATCCTGAACTTGGCTTCTTTCTCCCTCCCACAACCACTAAATTCTAACAATGCTCACAGCTAAGCTGATAGAGAAAAACAGAGAAGTGGAAAATAAACAATATTAGGAATGAAAAGGGAATCTCAACGGACAGAGCAGAAATTGTTTTAAAATACTAGGAAAAGCTTTGTCAAGTGGGCAATTTTGTATTAAAAAGGTAATCTAGGCCAGGTGTGGTGGCTAACACCTGTAATCACAGCACTTTGGGGGGCTGAGGTAGGTGGATTACCTGAGGTCAGGAGTTCCAGTCTAACATGGCGAAACCCTATCTCTATCAAAAATACAAAAATTAGCTGGCATGGTAGCATGAGCCTGTAATCCCAGCTACTCAAGAGGCTGAGGGAGGAGAATCACTTGAACCTGGGAAGCCAAGGTTGTAGTGAGTACAGAGATAGCGCCACTGCACTCCAGCCTGGGCAACAGAGCAAGATCATATCTCAAAAAAAAAAAGTATTGTACTGTCACAATAACAAATAAAAAATCTGAAAGGCTAGAGTATAGTGGCCCAATCTCGACTCACGGCAATCTCTGCCTCCTGGATTCAAGTGACTTTCCTGCCTTAGTCTCCTAAGTAGCTGGGATTACAGACATGATAATATAGAAATTTATTTTTGTATTTTACCACATTAACAGATTAAAGAAGGAAACTCACATGATCATTTCAATAGATATCAAAAAGGTAGCTGGAAAATATTCAATATTCATTCATGCTTTAAATTGTTTCCTAAAACTAGAAGGGTCAGGCATCGTGGCTCATATCTGTAATCGCAGAAGTTTGGGAGGCAGGGGCAAGAGGATGGCTTGAGCCTCAGAGGTCAAGACCGGCCTAGACAACACAGTGAAACCTCATCTCTACAAAAAAACTTTTTAAAAATTAGCCAGGCATGCTGGCCTGTGCCTGTAGTTCCAGCTACTGTGGGGAGGTTGGGGTACGGGTGGGGAGATACCAAAGTGAGAGGGTCGCTTGAGCTTAAGTGTTCCAGACTAGCCTAGGCAACAAAGTGAGATCCCATCTCTACAAAAAATACAAAAATTAGCTGGGCTTGGTGACACACACCTGTAGTTCCAGCTACTTAGGAGGAAGGGGCTAAGGTGAGAGGATAGCTTGAGCCTGGGAGGCAGAGGTTGCAATGAACTGAGATCGTGCCACTGTATTCCAGACTGGGCAACAGACCCAGACCTATCTCAAAAAAAGAAAAAATCAAAACAGAAAAGATGCTATGTATCGTCCCTTTACCACTCCACCCTTCTCCACGCAAGAGGCTGACTTAAATCAACTGCATCAGTGAGGTCCTTTGCCTTCTTGCCCTTAGAAGACAAAAATAAGAGACTAGAGGGTACGAGAAGAGTTGAGGTCAGTTATTTACTTCTCTAGCTTTCTCCTTACCAGGTCATATCTTCTCATAAAGTTACCTTTCCTGGGTTCCAGGAACCATTCTCTCCACATCAGGCCCAGGGATGGTATAACATTATAAGATCTCCTGCATATTGCCATAAGCTCTGACCCTACCTTTGTTAATAGTTCCTTTTTGAAACCAACTGAGCATACCATTCGTTTCCTAACAAAATGTTGCCTCACACAGAGGGTAATTTCAATTTCCTTAACCTAAGAAGAAGCATCTACCACAAACACAGAATAAGAATCTAAGAATTGAAACAGAAAATACTAGACTGAATCAGATAAAGATAAGCATTGTTTTCCATGAAGCTTTTGTTTCTGTTACATACACACAGTGACCATGCTGTCAAGTATGTGTCTTACTGTGAGTCACCACCAGACAACTCTGAAAAACACTTTGAATACAATGAAACAAATCTTACCTCACTTACCATATTATAGAATTCCAGCTCTCTTGGGCCCCTTGGAGGTGGTTGTAACTGTTTCAAAACTGTGCCATCTGGATGTTGCAGTATACCTATGGAACAAAAATCAGAAATTTTTTAATGCTTTAATAATATAAAGTGTGCTTCATAAAATAGATTTGTTCCTGAAGTGACAGGTTAGCTATTTCCTTTAAACTTAAGGGTTTACTTTTACTTATTTCAGAAATTCTAACATTCAACCAACAGGTTTCAGTACTTGTTATATGCAAAGCACCAGAACGCAAATTCCAAATATCTTAGTTTTATTATTTCCAACCACTACCTCTTTTGACACTCTCAGGCTTTATAATACATAGAACATATGTATAACATTGTATAGAAATTCCTTAGTAATAAGCTTTCCATAAGATGTTAATTTATAGTTATAAGAAGCAAGTTAAAAGCAACAGCACAAATTGACCCCACTTTTAAAACCAGAAAAGAACATATGTGTTAACAGTGGCCATATATGAATTTCCTACTTGTAATTTTTTATAAATCTCTCTTGTCTCTTATAAGAAAGTAACTAAAGTGTTTTCTGATTCAAATGCACTGTATACAAGTACATTTGTATATATAGTACAAGGACATCTAGCCAATAGGTAAAGTGACAGCTGAAATCAGGCAACAAGCCTAGAGCAGGAAGGGGTACCATTTTATAATCTGCCCACTCAAAGGAAGAGACTTTTTATAAAGTTACCATATATATACCAACACTGGTCCTAGCCCTATCCCATGAAGATTCATTCCAAATTTATATGTTAAAATCTTAAATTTTGAGGTATTGGAATTTTATAAAATCATGATAGTTAGAATCTGACCTAAATAAACATATTTAGAATTCTGATAAAATATGCCACTTGAGTTTCCTTTTCTTTTTGTTAATTGTTAGGAATTTTTTTCTTCCTATCAGATAGGTAATGTGCTAACACTATAACAAGATTGGAGTGAATCACGTCTCACACATGAGCATGAAAACTCAATCATCGTGCTTATGAACTACAGAACAATCTAGATTTTTTAATAATGGCAAAAATGCAGAATTCAGCCAACAGAAGCAGACAGAAAGTCTCAAGAGACACAGAAGTCAAGTTGTTGTTGTTTTCAATCTTAAGACTTAGACATAGGCCAGGCATACTGGCTTACACCTGTAATTCCAGCACTTTGGTAGGCTGTGGCTGGAAGATCACTTGAGGCTCAGTTTGAGAGAATCTGGGCCACATAGTAGAGCCTGTTTCTACAAAACATTTAAAAAAAGAAAATTAGCTGGGCATGGTGGCATGTGTCTATAGTCCCAGCTACTCAGGAGAATGAGGTGGGAAGATGGCTTGAACTCAGGAGTTTGAGGCTGCAATTAGCTATGATCACACCACTGCACTTCAACCTGGGTGACCCTCTCTAAAAATAAACCCTTTTTTTTAATTTTAAAAAGACCTAGATATAGAATAGAAGGAAGGTAAATATTAATCTGTCCGTATAAGACTGGATGGTAAACAATCAAAAGACTTCAAAGAGTAGTACAACATAACTAAAAGTTACTGCAGAAGTCCAATATAACTTCTGTTCCTGAAGGCTGGGATAAAGTACAAGAAAGCCCTTTACTCTCATGGTTATGACATTTTCTGTGGGGCTAAAATGAGTAAAGAAGCTTTGATGAATAGAATTCCAGAGGAAAATAAAACTTGAACTTTCATAAATAAGCAGAGAACCATGACAGCTTCCCTGCCTTGGGCAAACACCTTAGCCTAAATACAGAGGATCTTCCATTAGACAAATATATTTTGTTAGGCAAGCAGAAATCAGCCAAGCTCTAGACAACAGCGTGGGATAGCAGGATGGATTAGAGACTGTAATAATCCCAACACGAAAAGAGATTGCTTGGCCCACTAAGTCTCCCATATTACTCACCCTGCAACATAACCCTCAAGTTTGAGAAGACAGAAGATGGTAATCTCTGGCATTCTCTAGGCGAATAAATTCCAGAATCCAAATAAACCAACAGTAAATCAAGAGTATCTAAACCTGCAACCAAATCCCTACCCCCAGCTCAAAAACCATCAAGATAAAAAAAGGAGGCCCCTTCAAAGGCTGAGCCAGTAACAGATACACTGAATCTGAGACTGTAGCCTAGCACTAGCTCAACTAAACTCAGTCCCTTACCCTAAACACAGAAAAGGGCATGTACTCCATTGGGGAATCCAAACAAAGCAAAAAAATAGTACATATCACTTCCCACTGTTCTTTAAATAAAATGCCCTAAATTTAGGAAAAAATTATGATACATACTCAAAGTATCAGGAAAACATGAAGCACAATCAAGAGAAAACATAATAAATAGGAGATGACACATAGATGACCAAGTCATTCTAATTAGCAAGCAAGCATGTTAAAACAAAAATTATAAATATGCTAAAGATATTTATAAAATATTTTATGAAAGGTATTTATAGAGCATTAAAAACCTGTCAGGCAATATCAAGAGCTTTTAACAAACACGTAGTTAGGGTACCATAAGAAGAAAAAAGAATGGGCCAGAGGAAAAAAATTCTGGGCTTTCAAGTTTCCACCTAAGATATAGAAAGCCGGAAGAAGCATTGCTCCCACTTAAAAGCAAGAAAAGGCTAGATAATCTACAAAATCATAACTTTTCATGAAACCAATAAAGAGCTGAGATAATAACTAACAAACATAAAATCTAAAGACATACCACACACATACATACACACACACACACACACACACACACACACACACGACAAATGAGAGCAGTGGCTCACCCATGGAGAGGAATGGGAAGGTGGAGTTACCTTACAAGGGGGTTAGAATAATAGAGCTAAAATTTTTAACAAATAGCTAATGGCACAGTACAGATTCAAGTGAGGGTATAGAACTCCCAGAAGTTGCAAACACTTGCAACATTTTCTCCAGGAACCTCTCTTCCAAGCTGTCAAGAAAGTGACTGGAGAGAGGCATAAAGTCAGAAAAAGTGACCATCAGAGGTACAGGCATTAAGGAAGTGGAGCACCACTACTAAAAGAAAGAAGACCCTTTTCCCCTTTGGATCAAAACTCTTAAGTTGTTCAGGTAAGAACAATAAATCATGTTGTCCCCAAGAAACGGGTGGCAACCCATTGTGGAGAATAAAGGAAAATATTCTCCAACCCTGGGAGGATAAAGGAAGACAGGAAATCATACGCAGTCTTAACTTTTTAAGTCTCCTACTGCTGGGGGTGGAAAGGAAACTCATGCAAAGGACCTGCTGAAGACACAAGGCAGTTTGACTTCTATGGGAAAGAGGGGCAGGATCCCTGAACAAGTCCCATTCCCCAAAACCTAGATCACAGAACCTACCTAACGTTGAAGCTGGGCCAAGACAACAGGGGATACTTCTGCAGCCTAGCACCAGGGTGGCTATCACCAAGGAAAAAATAATAGTAATCTACATTTGTGGGAGGGTGATGAACATAGAGAAAACTACCTCTGAGCACCTCTGAAGCTTACGTGCACAAAAAAAAGACCTCAGGTAGAGAGTTAAACATAATACTGAGAAAAATCATCTGGCAAATCAGACCCATCCTAAACAAAAGATGACACTCGCAGAATTTCAAATCTATGGTACACTGACAGTTTTTTAGTCAGCCGGGGTCTGCATAACAAAATGCAATAGACTGAGCAACTTAAACCACAGAAATTTATTTTACCATATTTCTGAAGGCTAGACATCCCAGACCAAGGTGCTGGGAGATTTGGTTCCTAGTATGGACTCCCTTAGCTTGTAGGTCAGTTTCTCACTGTGTTCTCACATGGCAGACAAAAAGAGAGCTAACTCTGTAGTGCCTTTTCTTATAATTACACATTCTATTGCATCAAGACTTCACCCTTATGACCTCATTTAACCTTAATTACCTCCATACAGGTGCTATCTCCAAATATGGTTACATTTGTGGGGAAGAAGGGGCTTCGACATATGAATTTTGAAGAACACAAAACACTCAGTCCATAAGAGAAAGCAACTATTAACAACAATACTTAAATTTGTCTTAATTCTTCTTTAGATTGGCTCAAATCATCAACAGCACCAGTCAAGCAGAAGAAGTATATTCATTTCAGTAATAAACACTGTTGACTTTAGTTGCTATAGTCCTATACATGATGCCCACTACAATTTAATGAAAATTACAACACATGAAAAAGCAAGAAAAGGCCAGGCACAGTGGCTCACGCCTGTAATCCCAGCACTTTGGGAGGCTTAGGTGAGTGGATCACAAGGTCAAGAAACCACCCTGGCCAACAAGGTGAAACATGGTTTCCACTAAAAATAGAAAAATTAGCCTGGGTGTGGTGGTGTGAGCCTGTAGTCCTAGCTACTCAGGAGGCTGAGGCAGGAGAATCACTTGAACCAGGGAGGCAGAGTTGCAGTGAGCCAAGATTGCACCACTGCACTCCAGCCTGTGCACTCCAGAGTAACACTCTGTCTCACACACACACACACAAAAAAAAGCAAGAAAAATAATACTGTCAAGAGATACAGCAAAATACAGACTGATATCAGAAATGACAGTGTGTTAAAATTATCAGACAGGGGAACTTAACCATAATTTATAGAAAAAGCACACAACATGCATGAAAAGACAAGTGTTTTCATCAGAGAGAAACTTTAAAAGTTTAATGGAAATAGTAGAAATGAAATACATAGTTAACAGATATGAAGAAAGCTTTCTATAGGCTCATCACTAGAATCAAAACAACCAAGGAGAGAATCAATAAGTTTGATGTCAGGTCAATAGAAATTATACAAATTGAAACACAACGAGAGGAAAAGAAAAAGAAAAGAAACCAGAAGAGAGCATCCAAGATCTACAGAATAATATCAAATAGTCTATGATAACTATCTGATATGGTTTGGTTCTGTATGCCCACCCAAATCTCACATTGAATTACAATTCCCTGTGTTGGGGGACAGACTTGGTGGGAGGTGACTGGATCATGGCGGCAGATTTCCCCCTTGCTATTCTCATGATGATGACTTCTCAGAAGATCTAGTTGTTTGAAA